TGATACCTCTTGGAGAAAGGATTTTTATTGGAGGAGATTTAAATAGACATGTATAGAGTGATAGAAGATTTTAGAAATGTTCGTAGTGGCTACGGTTTTGAAGTGAGTAATGAAGAAAATAGAGCTATATTAGATTTTGCTTTAGCGTATGATTTTATTATTGCTAATACTTTATTCAAGAAAAGTTCAAGAAAAGAGATGAACATAGAGATGAACATATTATTAATTATAAGAATAGATCTAATAAAACACAAATTGATTGTTTTCTTATGAGAAGAAGAGATTGTCGGGAATGTAAAGATTGTAAGGTCATTCCAAATGAGGTTTAAGTACTCAAGATCAATCATTAGTTTTAGATTTTAAGATGAAGAATTGTAAAATAAAGAATACTAAAAATCTTCATCGTAGAATTAGATGGTGGTACCTAAATGATATAAATAAAATTATTTTTATGAGTAAAATTCAAGATTTTAAAATTTGAGATGTTCGTGAAGAAACAAATTCTTTGTGGGATAAAACAACAAAAGCTATTAAACATGTGACAAAAGTTGTACTTAGAGAATCAAAAGAAAATGTTTCTATAAATAAAAATAGTTGGTGGTTAATTAATATTGTGCAAGAAAAGATAAAATATAAGAAGATATACTATAAAAATTGATTTAAATGTGAAAACTTAGAGAATGGGGAAAAATATCAAACGGTCCATAGGGAGTTTAAGAGAACAATCTCGCTAAAAATTCTGTTTTTAATAATATTTATAATGGATGAGATACTAAAGATGATGAAAAATATATATATGAACTAGCCAAACAAAGAGAAAAGAAAGTAAAGATTTAACTCAAGTATAGTATATTAAAGATGGAGATCAAAAGTGCTTTTCTTAGAAAAAGATATTCAAAGTAGGTGGGTGAGTTATTTTAATAAACTATTTAATGAAGTTTCGAAAAATACGATTGACCATAGTGAGCTTAATTTCGTTAATAACAATAAATTGTTTCATTTTTACTGTCACATTAGTGAAAAAGATGTTGAGGAGGCTTTAAAGAAAATCAAGGGTGGAAAGTCTGTAGGACCTGATATATCCTAATTGAAGTGTGGAAATATTTAGGAGATTTGAAAGTTTCTTGGCTTACTAAACTTTTTAATATTATTTTAAAAATTAAAAAGATGCCCGAGGATTGGAGGAAGAGTCTTTTGATTCCCATTTTTAAGAAAAAAAGGAATGCACAAGAGTGTGCCAATTATAGAGGAATTAAGTTAATGTGTCATACTTTAAAATTATGGGAGAGGGTAATTGAACATAGGTTAAGACGTATTACAAAGATTTCTCATAATCAATTTGGATTTATGTCGGGCAGGTCTACTATGGAAGCTATGCATTTATTGAGAAGTTTGATGGAGAAGTTCAGAGATAATAAGGAGGATCTACATATGATTTTTATTGATTTAGAAAAAACTTACGATAAGATTCCAAGAGATATCCTTGGAGAGAGATATCCTTTGGAGAGTTCTTGAGAAGAAAGATGTTGATATGACATATTCAAGTTATTAAAGATATGTATACAAGAACTGTTACTTGTGTTTGAACAGGAGGATTGACCAAATATTTTCCTATTTCTGTTGGTTTACATCAGGGATCGACTTTAAGCCCATTTCTTTTTGCTTTAGTTATTGATGGTCTTATTTGACACTTACAGGAGGATGTACCTTGGTGTATGCTTTTTGCTGATGATATCTTTTTCATGGATAAGACGAAAAAAAAGCTCAGGAAAAACTTGAACGATAGAGATCTACCGTAAAGTCTAAAAGCCTTCGTTTGAGTAGAACTAAAACTGATTACATGAAATGTAATTTGAGTAGTAGTAGCTCTAGTGACAGAAATGTAACTACGGGTGATCAGATTATTAAAAGGTGGGAACGCTTTAGATATCTCGGGTCTATTGTTCAAAGTGATGGTGATATTGCTGAGGATTTTATTAATAGAATTCGAGTTGGTTGGTTGAAGTGGAGGAATGCTTCGAGCCTATTGTGTGATAGAAAAGTAGCGCTTAGACTGAAAGGAAAATTTTATATGATTGTAATGAGACCTGCATTGCTCTGTGGCATTCATTAAAAGAGAAGCATAAAACTAAGTTAAGTGTTGCCGAGATGAGAATGATTAGGTGGATGAGTGATTGTACACTTAGAGACAAAATGTGAAATGAATATATCCATGATTGGGTTGGTGTAGCTCCAGTGACAGACAAAATTAGAGAGAGTCGTCTTAGATGGTTCAGTCACTTTAAACATCGACAATCCGATGATCCGATTAGAAGAGTAGATGTTTTAGTTTCAACTTATGTAATGAAAGATAGAGGCAAACGTAGGATGAATTGGGTTTATTGTATAAAAAATGATCTTAAATTATTAGAATTAAATGAAAATGACATAAAATTATACGCAATGGAGAAAAAGGATTCATGTAGCCGACCCCACTTAGTGCGATAAATGTTTTTTTTTGTTGTTGTTGTTTTTGGTAGGTTATGTGCATCTTACTATTAAGAAATTTCTTTTAAATTTGTTTATCATATGAACCCTAGAAAGCCTCTATTTCTCATATCATTATCTTTGCATTCACAATATTTTCAATGCAGTGCATTTTCTTCTAGGCATATACTTAAAACTTTATATCTAACATTTCAGATTGTTAAAATGAGAAATATGTAGTTATAACTAACGTACATAAATGAAAGCAATTCATCATTGAACGTGATTTTGCATTTGTTTGAACTAGATCTTCTTGCTTTACACCACATATTAATTAAAAAGCTCTATAAATGTGCCTCTTGTCTTTGCACAATTCTTAGAAAATAGTTTTAAATTGTTTGGTAGATTTGTCTTCAGATTTTAATCATTGCCCTCTATTTAATCTTGAAGATCTAATATAGGGAGGCAGCTTTGAGCCTCAAGTACCTACAAGTAGACTTTTTAATGGTGGAGGTTCTACTTCTATGAGTAATAGTGCTAATATTGCTATTGCGGTGCTTCCATTTTCTGTTACTGCACAAATTGGCAAATCCGAACTCATTTTTACTGATGAAATCACCATAGAAGCTTTTGAAGCATACAAATACTTAGTTTGTTGGAAAGCCTTTGAAGACTCTTAGATAACAATTTGAAAAATTGATGTTGATGATATTGTATATACTTGAGGAAGGGTGGTGCAATTTTGCCTTTTGGAAGGAGAGTTCTTTTGGCCCAATGGAGTTGATGTAGCACATAATCCAAAACTTAAACAGTGGCTAGACCCAAGGGTAGAGTGAACTCAAATTAGATTAATTCATGAATAAATTTGTGTTTATTTTATTAGTCTTATTTTTTATTTAAATTAACTTAGAATTATCTTTTGAGTAATCTTATTTTAATGTTAAGTGGATCAAATGATAAATTTAGTTTTGAATTTAAATTGTCGGATCTATTTTTATAAATAGGGTTGGGGATAAATTATCATGAATTGGAATTGAAATGGATTCTCTTTTGTTATTGGATGCCCTCTTCTCTCTTTCCTCTTCAATGGGAAATCCATAGTAGTCTCTCTTTTATCATATGCCTTTTCTAAGGAAGTCCTTTTTTCTCTCTTCTAGCGATACAGTTTTTTTTTCTCTTCATTTCTTGAATGAGTTTAGCCCCTTTCTTCTTAAAGTAGTAATTCTCTCATATTTTAGGGGTGAATAAAAGAAAGTATATCACAATTTAGGGCATCACTAGAAGGAATAAGAAGATCTACTTATTTGCAAGTATCCACCATCAAAATTTATTATCCAATCAAATTTTAAAAAGGAGAAATCGGGAATCGAGACGTTTTGCCTAGCGAGATGAGGCGTAAGCCTAAAAAAATCTCATAAAATTAAAAATAATTCATAAATATGATATAAACCGTTGATATGTTGTTTTAATTTATTATTTTAAAAGCATAAATCACAAATTTTTATCTTAAATTTTGATATAAAATAGAAGTTTCAATTGTGATTCTAGGTAAACATTCACTTAAAATTTAAATATTCCATTAAATTTAAGATCCATAGTAGACTCATATTTGCTTGTGTTATACTCAAAAGAATCATTATATTTAATATCATCAAATTCTGTCTCATTTGAAATTTTAGAATGTTCTTAATTTACTATTATTTTCTTCCTACTATCAATTAATCTAAAATCCAATATAATTTAAAATAAAAGAATAAATTAATCGCAAAATCAAATAATCCTATTTAAATTATCTTTTGATTTTCTTAAGGCTTTGTATCAAATATATTAATATAACATAATATAATATATATTAATAATATAATATAATATATTTTTTTTGTATAACTTGATCTAGGTGTCATCTCATGCCTTGAGGCATAATGCTTGGAGGCGCATGCCTCAGATGAAAAAGGCGCAGACTTCACTGGTGACAGTGAGGCTTGAGCCTCGAGGTTTTTTTTTTTGTGCTCCTCTATTGTTGGCGTGCCTTGAGGCATATGCTTCTAATGCTTTTATGGATCCAATAATGGGTTTTAACATCCCATCGCTTGGAACCAGCATATCAAAAATTCATTGGACTTTGCCAGCGTTATTTGTTTAAGGCACACTTTGCTTTTACTAAATTTTGCCTGTTTTATAAATGAATATATGCACCTCAGGCTTTACTTTCCTCGTAATGGTGGACTAACGTTAGAAAGCTCATCTTAGTCTCTGTAGTTTCCATCAGAATACGATACTTTAGATTGAACTAGCTTTGTGGTTGCTTTTGTTTCATGAACATTTCATTTTTTAACTGTTTTTATGTAAATTGACTCAAACTCTCTATTCCTTGCCTAGTTAAAGTCTTCTTTATTTTATAGATATAATTTGTATAATATTCATACTAATTTTTAGTTGTTATTTTCCAATCGTTAGCACATTTGGTTTTTTTATTGTTCCAAATAATACATTCAAGTTTGTGAATACTACAATGTTTTTCCTCTTTTTTTCAGATGACAATTTCTTTGGGCCTGTATCAACGAGCTTTATCAATTCTGGTCGTTTAAGTGAGTCTGGAATGGCGGATGACAACAATCATGACATCACACTTGATTCGACAGCCTTCTCTTTGCATTTCAGGAATATAGCTCCTCCAGATGATCAGTCAGCTAATTCAGTGGGAAGTCTACGGACACCAACAGTTGAGACACCGCCTTGTATCCCTATGGGCTTCTTAGTTGGAAGAGATCAGACTGAGGAACTGTCAAATAAATGTTCTGTTAGGCAAACGAGCAATGTTTCTGGTGATTGGGACAAAATTAATCTGGTTGTAGGTGGGTCTCTCAGCTATGGAAAGTTGTCTCTAACTCTAGGAGCACTCATGGATGAAGTAAACTTGAGAATGCAACATAATTCTCCAATCATAGATCATAGATTTATAACTTCTACTTGTCGAACTGATGAAGTTGAAGGCATTAGGAATCCGTTACAGGATGGAGAACAGTTTGGTAATCCTAATTCTTGCGATGATGATCCTGGTAGTATTATGCACTCCTCAGTTTCTCCAATGGGACATTCAGTTAGCAATGAATCCTTGCTACATGCAAAAGCTAAAGCATTAACGAATTACCAGAACGGTGAGAAAATAAAGGTGGGAAATAAGAAATTCATATATTAGGCTCTTTCTCTTTCATTTTGTGAAGTAACTGTTTGAAATGGTGTCTAAAGTGTAGCATTAAGCAGTGCTACAGATGCAATTTTAGATACTTTTCTTTTTGTTCTGAAAACATCGCCACCCTGTTGTTCAATAATTGAGATCTCAATGAAATGGCTGCATTCTTGTGCTAGTATTCCATAAAGTTGGAGGTCAATCACTTTATCAAGAAGTGAATGATACCAACTAATTCTATCTATTGTTATTTTTAGATGTTGATGTACTAAAAGTATACTATTTTCAATTTGTGCCTTATTATTTAGTTATATGGTGATTTAAGAATCACTAAATTAATGCCATATTTCTCCCAACTTACAAATATTATTGGGATTCTAAAGAAGTTACATGCTAGCATTTTGTTCCCTGTATCGTAAAGCTCTATGCTAAACTTTTTAACTTTGGATGTGGGATGGGACTGAGGAACTAGTGAGAAAACTGATCATGGAGATGGGAAAGACATCTAATTCAAGGATTAAGATTTTTTTCTTTCAACATTGTTCAAGCCGTAGCTGTCTTAAACTGAACTCTATTTTGGGAGAGCTTATTCTTCCCATGCCTGAAGAGTTTATGTTGGTCAGCTTCACTGTTTTACCTATTAATATTTTTCTTTCCAAGAGGTAAAAAATTCGTAGAACTTTACATTTGTCGATTTCTGCTCGCTAAAAAGGTGCTAGCTATATATATATTATTAATGAGTAGAATGAAACATTTTGTGTTTTGTTATTTGTTAGCTTTCTTAGTCCTTCACTATTTTGGGTTTTACTGAATTAGGACCCCTTCAACATTTGTTTTCATTGCAATTTCTTTGGGTCCTTTTAGATTTCATTATGCTTTAGGTTGTTTAGTCCTGGAGACAAGTAGTTTAGAACTATTTTATCAATTTTGTTCCATCCAAATTATTATTATTATATCATGAGATTATGAGATTATATTTTATAAAAATTATTGAGATAGTTCAGCATATCATTCCAACATTTATGTATTTTTTATACTATTTTAGAAGAGATTTCTATACGAAGAAAACACAATAAAAAAATAATAATTATAATATTCTATGAGTTGATAAGTAGGCAGAAAACTTGTTATAGAATAATTATAATAGTTCAATGATTGATGAGTATGCAGTAGAGGTTCTTCAGATCCATATGTTTGCAACATAAGAGGGTGTAAAGAGGGCATGTCTTAGGGTCTGTTTGGCGCAGCTGTTGATTATTTATAATCTGCTGATAAGCAGATTATTTTGATAATCTGCAGATTATCAAAATAATCTGCTTATCAGCAGATTATAAATAATCAACAGCTGCGCCAAACAGACCCTAAGAGTTAAATGACATTTCTGCCCCTAATGACATTTCTGCCCCTATCTGATAAAACTGTTTGGGACAACTTATTCAGAATAACTTATTGGTAGTGCAAAAACATATAGTGCAGAAACATACAATTATCACAAATTAGTTCCAAAAGATGACATACAGTTCTCACACTCTCGTGAGTACCAGAAAAAATAAAAAAAATACAAAGATAAATATAAATAAAATGAGAAATATTAAAATATTTAATTTGAAACTCTGCCAACGACTGTTCTCATCTACACTATCAACCTGGGAAAACATCGAATTCCCATGACTGCTGCCAGTGTAATATGTGGGATTGCCAACCCACCGGAAGAAACCGCAACGAGCTGAAACATCATTGACATAACCGTAGAACTGTCTCTCAAAGCTATGAGACTGACGTGACGTAAGCAACAAAGATGGTAGTCCAGTTAGTCCACAATAACAAAAAATCCCTCTGTCTGTAACTGATATCCTAGAAGACATATTTGTATAACTGCGAAAAAAAAACGAATGTCAAAACTTAACTCAAAAAAATAAAATACACATAAAAATTGATCTACATATATACGAAGAAAAGAAAGACTTGTTGGATTAACTGCCATATGTAGCATCCGCTGTAGACTCCCTCAGAGCAGCCATCTCGGCTGCACCCTCACCGTCCTGAGGTTCATATCATATTCAGTAGACTCGAGTAGACTCGATCTCATTATCAGCTAGAAATCCTGAAGGTTCTAGGGAGTCAATAATTGGATCATCATCAGCAATATTGAAGTCCATATTTGAATGAGAGAGTTGTCGTCGGATGAAGTTGTGAAGTGCCATAGTGGCCACCATAATATGCACTTGTTTGGGAAATGAATACGAGGGCATATCACGTAGGATAACTCATTTCTTCTTCCACACTCCAAATGTTCTTTCAATAACCCCTTGTAAAGAAGAGTGTCGTTTGTTAAACATTTCTTTTTTTCAAGAATCGTGCCACTTGCTCGCTCAAAATCAGGAATATGATATCTAGTGTCTGGATAGGGCTTCAAATAGCCTCTTAGCATCAAATACCCAACATCTACCAAATAATACTTTCATGTTATGAAAGACAATATTAATTAAAAATAATTGATGTAATTAACAAGATGTTTAATTAAGATGAACAAACCTGGAGGTGGGTGAGGAAAACACTGTGTTCTATTCCTAGTTGCATAGGAAAAAAGACGACTGTCATGTACACTTCCTTCCCACCCCGCGATTACATGTTGAAGTTACAGACTGCCATCACATTTTAGGTAGCTTTACCACTCCGACCAATAACGCGATCCTTTCATGACTTGGTAGTCGGGCATCCACATGCATGCGTACCATTGCGTACCATCGATTGCTCCAATGCAGTTCTGTAACTCATAGTTAGCAATTCCACAGGTACTGAAGTAAAAGTAACAAACTAATCAAACTTACTTTGAAATACGACATGTAATGGGGATCATTTGCAATTTGTTTAGGAATAGTTGCGAACGATGAATTAGATGACTTAATGTTTTGCGTTGCTAAGCTCACAAGTTCTTGTATACCTTTATAGAAGTATCGACTAATTGTTTTTGAGGAATGCTGAAATCGCTCTATAGCTCCTCTAACCAATTCATTCTGTGAGAGAATATATAATGTTATAGCCAAGAGTTATAGCCATATATAATGTTATAGCCAAGCCCTCTCTCGTGGTCGTTCTAGAAGAACCTTGGAGGTCGTGGTTACAACATAAGTCACGTAGTAGATCCATAAAAATGGGTGCACTCATTCGAAAAATGTTACTGAACCTTATTGGATGTCCAGCAGGCATCTCACCCACCCATTTGTCCCCAACATATGAGGACGCCATGCATGGTATCCTTCTAGTGCTGGAGCGGTAATATTCCAACAATAATATTGCTATTGCTGCAACCTATGCCATTCTTTTACGACGTTCTTGTTGTAGATTCATCCTGAAGTTATAAATTCATTAGGATGAAATAATCTAGCAGAAAATGACATAAATGAAATGCATCTAGTGAAGAAAGCATCTGGAAAATGCCATAAATGAAATACAAAACATCAATAAATGAAGTACATAAACTGAAAGTCCAAGCATCAGGAAATGTAGTACATCAAATGAAATTCAAAGCATCAGGAAATGAAATACAAAACAATCTCATTCGTCTACTAAAACACGTAAATATTCATAGCGCAGCTCGGGTCGTATGGCCATGAACATTTGCCGATGAGTAGGACCTCAAGTTTTTTAACAGATTTTGCCTGAAAGTGCATATCAAAACTACTTTTGGAATAATGTCTAAAATGACAACGTAGTCCCAGATGGTGCTGTCTGGGGGAGGTGGAGCTGAAAAAGCAGCAACTAGTTCATGAAATGTGCTTTTGACGAAACCATCCGTCTCTTTCTTCCTCCTGGCAAGCCTATGCCTTTTCGACATGGAACTAGACTCTCCCATCTCTTTTTGGTTAATACTAGGCCCTTCTTCATCAACTATTACCTATTCAGGTGGCAATTCATCTGGTATTCCTGAAAATCCAGATTCACTTGGGTTAAATGAATTCTTTCTAGTCGCCACAACCCCCCTAAACATTATGTCCAGTTTTTCCTCGAACTCTGGCTCAATTCCGCACTGGCTATATTTTTTGGCAGTTGACATTACCTAAAACATAAGACATTTATTAGATGTGTTTAAGCATTAACGGAAAAAATAATGAAATTAACAAAAGAAGTTTGTATTTATTACCTCCAATCTTTCTGCCCACCATTCATCTGGAGCATCGATAGTTCGTTTAACGGGATCCCAACCCAATCCGGCAGATCTGTATGTTTCAGCTCCTTCCATATTTTCCATTCATTCTTCAATTGGTCCCATTTGTTTTTGAATTTAAGTCTGTCGTAATCTCTTCCAGTCAATGCTTTGAATCTCTTAGCAATATTTTTCCAACCTTTCTTATTGAAATGCGTGGTTGGTCTGTTCCCCAGTTCCATGTATTCCAAAAAATATTTGTAACATCTTTATCCCACATTGCAGAAGGACCCTCTTCATTCACCTTAGACATTGAACTTTAGGGAGAAAATGAAAGTATTATCTAAAAGTGTAATAAAAAATTCTCTATCCTATGAAATTTAAAAAAAATAACAAATTGTAAATAAACATTGACATCCAACATTCATTTCCACAATACTTCAATTAAAAAAAAAAACAAGTGAATAAGAGATTTATGTGGTTCGGTCAGTGACCTACATCCACAGATAGAAACCCACAAAAATTTTATTAGGCACAACATGAAAGAATACATATCTATGAACCGAAAAACAGATTTCCACTATAATTCTCATAGCACTATAATGCTCTCATATCTCACATTTCACTATAATTCTTACATAGCACTACAATGCCCTCAAATGCCAACCAAACTACTCCCAAGTTTGTATTTATGAAGCAAGCATATACGAAGCCATTAGGAGACCAAACTGGAGATCAAACAGTAATATCGCTAAAGCTGCATTTTAGTTTCAAGGGACAAAAAATATGGAGCAAGAGTCATAACAATATTGTAAAGGAAATCCCAACAGTTGTG